CACAAAATGATACATAATCATAATATATATATAGAGAGAAGCACACACAAAGGGAGAGAGAGAGAGTAACAGTTGGGTGAGAGGCGAGCAAGAGCGAAATAAAACCTTGAGAAAGTACGAATCGCCAGCTTCCCTGCATTTGACAGCAAACCATACCAGTAGCATGCTAATTTCTAGCCAGTCGCGAGACATCCAATTTCGAACTGTGGAGTTACAGAAGGTTCCTAAAAACCAGAAGAATAGAAGAAACAAACCATTAAATGCGAGCAAACTCACAGAGCTTCAGAAAGATCACGGGCTTATGAGGAGAAAAGGATTCCGGTTAATTTAAAAATGTGCAATTAGACATTATAGCTGTCGTGTCATGAAAAGCGATTAACATACAAACGCTATGAAGAGAATAAGAATTGACTAGCATTGCCACAATACGTGTATCTTTGACATCTTTTCGACATCATCGATTGGGGAAAAAAGAGAAGAAAAAAAACTGCAGGTGAGATCTTCAGCGCGTCAAACGGATAGTACATGTATAGAAGTGCAGGCAATTGACGAGGTGCCTTATGCATCCGTTGCAAGCATTATCCTAATGACGCTGACAACAGTTAGATATGTGGAGATACATTTTATCACACGTGTATTTCCATGAATGGTCAAATGGTTCTGAAATTACATCAACCGTCCATAGATTGTTCACCATGTGCCCTTATGACCCAACTCCCTACACCACTAATCTCAAACTGGCGGCCCGCATATATATATATATATATATATATAATGTGTGTGTCAGTAGGTGTGTTAATGTTAGATGAATGTCGCTTCCGCCATCATCACTGGAGCTGAGAGAAGAAATGGACACCTTATAACTATATGATAATAAATAATTGTAAGAAAAATCCCACTTGGTCTCTACCAATGACGAGAAAAAGGTAATTCCAATAACTGTATTTAATCGTCATTGCGTGATGGAGGGAACAAGACAGAGGCCAGCGAGCTAGTCCTTTAGTCCTTATGCATCGTAAGAAATGGCAGTTTATATCGTTCGAATTTGGAGAAGTGGAGAGGGAGGAAACAAAAGAGAGAGAGAGAGAGAGAGAGAGAGAGAGAGAGAGAGATAGAGAAGGCAGAGAGAGAGGGGGAGAGAGAGAGAGAGAGGGAGAGAGAGAGAGGGGAGAGAAAGAGAGAAAGAGTGAGAAATATGGAGGAAAAGTGTTGAAAATAAGAGAGAGAGAGAGAGAAAG